CCTCAGATGGCTGCCTCGGTTCTATTCTGAAGACAAATTCCTTTGTGTGTAACATACTTGGCCAAATAAAGGTGATTATTATCCTTATCCAAAGACAGTGGTGTAATTCTTTAGTGGAGTGTGGTGCAGCAAACACCCCAGGATTCATTACAACAAATACATGAAGCCATTGCATGAGACAACACAAACAGTTTTTAGAATCAAATATTATGTTGAAAACACTAGATGTATTGAAAAATGATAAAAAAAACCGAAACATCCACAGTCCTTAGAAACAGTGAATGCTACAGTATGTAGTGCATGCTGCAAGTACAAACAGAGACACATGCACACACATAGTAAACACCAACTTGTTCACACACATTCCATCAATGCTAGCGTGAGTGAGTAATTGTTTCTACCTATAGTGATTTCAAGTGAGTGTTTGATGAGGGCTACAGTTCCATTGATTTGATTTGATTTATTCTTTGCTTGGCAGGGTATAAGAGAGCTAATGGCTGAGGGCTAATTGTGGCCAATTGTGCTTGCGTGGCCTTCCCTCTCATGCTAATGTTTCACAGAGCTACAGGCTGGAGGAGTATATATGAAGTTGATATTTCACATCAGATCCCGTGCTGTCATCCTGTACAGTAGAAGCCTGAGTGTTCTTTGTTTCAGTAAAGCCTACTGTCTCCCGCACACTGAGATGTACTATTGTGTAGCTTTCAACAACTCTTCTTGCAGTGATAGCGTCCTGTCCTGCCACTTGCAGAAAACACAGCAACTAGCTGCTGCACAAATGTTTTCTGAAAATAAATGATAGCTTTCTCGCTTTGTCAAAATCAGACTTTTGATGTTACCGATCACAAAAAAGGAACTACTGCACTCAAATGTTTTCACAGTTTTTAAATGTCTTAATTATTTGTGAATGCTGACATACAATTTAAATTAGCACTGCAATGATTAGAGCTGTTGAGGTCAGCAGGCTAGTTCTCATTAATAGCCCTGATTGTCAGTGGTCAATGCCAAACAAAGGACACGAGCTGTGTTACTACGCTTATTGTAGTAACCTAGAAGGCATTAGCTGCAGAGCAGAGCAGTGGACGGCCTCACCTTGACTGTGCACTGTGCTGCACTGATAGATGACACAAGTACAGTACAACCTTGCAAGGACACAGTTCCACTCCAAAATCTGCACTTATCATCTATGTACACTTGGCATCTAATGTGACCTCACTGAAAAAGAAACATAAAATCCAAACAGCTCCTTCCTTTCCTCTGCTCCATTCCCCAGGGTCAGTCTGTTTCTAGTGCAACAATCTACTGGCTCAGCACTCTCTCTCTCTTTTTTTTATTTATTACTGAGAGCTATTTTTACCACGTTACACATTTGCATCACAAAAGGAGGCAGGGCCTATAACTTAACCAAAGAGGAGGGGTCTAGATAAAAGCTACACAAATACACTTCAAAGCTAGAACTGACAGTTTAAAGCTGCAGTGGGCAGGATCTTTGATATTTGGTCATATTAGCAGCTCTGGCACAGGTTCACCAGGCAGTATAGGGCTCTCAGGGGGTGGTGAAGGGATAAGAAGGGGGCCTAAGCCCGCATTTCTATTTTGGACCCTTTGAAGATGAAGGTATGGTATGTGCTCAGCTGTGTGCTCCAGGCAGGAAGCCTTTGTGGATTTCTGACTGTTTTGCTACAAAAACCAACAGAAAATCTAACGACTGACAGCACTGATAGACTCACACCTGGATGGCACTACAGCCACATGCCTGCAGGAAGACAGGCATCCATAAAATTTCTTCAAATGCATGCAAGCACACACACACACACCAAAATGTTCACCACTGTTTTTCAGCTCCATAGGATTATATATTGTATTGTGCATTGCAACTTCACAAACACACACATAGTCAGATGATCATTAGTTATTTGTGCAGCTGCATGATGCATGATATGGCCCACACAGGCTTCTCCTGTGGACATTTCTACCTGAAATCTCTCTATTTTACTCCCTCAGCTTATAAAACAACTCATCTGTTCATAATCATAGTGTCAGATGAGAATAGACCATAATTTTTGCCTGTTACTTCTAGGTAAGTGTGTTGGTTTTCCCAGTGGAGGGGTGATTTACAGGTGCAGGGATATATGTAAAGAGAGATTTGAAATTAGATGGAGGGGTCTGATGATAAGAAGCAATTCTATCATCCTCAAGGGACGTCTCAGCAGCTGCCTACAAAAACATACAGGTAGATAGTAATAGTTTCAGTGACTCTGTCTGTGTCTCTCATTCATTCTCACACACCCACACTACCTGAGCATTGTTTCTTTCAACACTGAGAATTCAACAGTCTTTCGCTCTACTGCTGGATCCAGGTTGTCCTTCAATCACATCAGTGTAAACACTTGACTTTCTGTTGAGCAAGTAAGATAAGAGTCTGTAGGTATATCGAATTCTTGCAAAATACCTTCATACATCTGAAAGGTGGCAGGTGAGCCTTTCTTAATGCAAAGTACTTTTTCTTATTCACATTAAATGATGTGCACCTACACAACATTTTTAAAAACAGGATATTAGTTTGTCCTAAACTCATTTTTCATGACCCAACTACAACTTCCTGCAGGTCCATTAACACATTAAACCTCCTTATCTGGGTCATCTCGCCTTCTTCACAAAGCAGCCCTCCACTCCCACCACAATCGAGCACACACACACACAAACACATACACACAAATGGAACACTAACCCCTTCCTGTCACTAGGACTTAGCCAAAGACCAAAAAAACATCCAGAATAAGAGAAAAACAACCACGCCTAATGGCAACTCAATAGGGAAGTGTTTGGAGCCCCTTATGTCTCTTCTGCTCACTTCGACTTTGGAATAAAACAAATAAATAAAACATTTAACATGATAGCTTTGTAGCACAAGACCACTCAGTTTTTCCTACATGCTGATATAGCATGAATTTAAAATTAAAGAAATATTGTGACTAAATTTCACTTAAGTCCCAAAGGGCAGCTATATCACATGGTAGGCAACACTGCACACAGGTCAGTGGATACAACAAGCATCACATTTTCAAACCTTTGAGACAGCTGCTGTATCAAAGTCTCATTTACCACTCCTCATCACATTATTTTCTACTAATAATAGAACATGTTTATTTGCCTCTGACATGCTACAGTATGACTTGCTGGTTCTTCTCTAGTCCAGCTCTGTCACACAGAGAGAGGCAGAAGCATGATGCCCCATATTGCTCAAATCCACATGACCTACACTGAAGAGTAACTTCACTGATGTAGGGGAGCATCATAAAAGGGCAAATCTTTAAACAAGTGACCAGTTCTGCCAGGCAGCCCCAGGTGACAAGTCAGAAATGGGCATTGTCATCAGCCATTAACTTAAATGGGAGGGAGTTAGAGCAAAGATGCTGCTTTGTATGGGCAAATGTGAATAAACCTATACAGCAGCTGGTCCATAAACAGAAGCAAAATGCATGTTGAGACTGATTTTTTTTTCTAACATGACAAGCATCTGCTGCTCATGATTGCATTTATAAATGATAAGAGACTCAGGACCTGACTGTACTAGACCTGACTGTAAAGTACCACAGGGCCCAGTCCAACAGCGTTCTCTTGCACAGGCTTCAGCCTGCACTGCTGCTCAAAGCTTCCCCTTAAATGCTTCCAGTTTATATGAAGGGACTGGAAACAGAGCAGCTTAACAACACAATGCAATTTAAATGAATCTACTTTTTATATAACTACAATAGTGTTATTTTACTGTTAATTTTAAAGTTTTTCTGGGGGGCCACTTTTGCCTTTAGTTTCTTTAAGTGGGTCATGGAGAAGTGGAAAGGACCTGCCACAAATGTTGGCATTGGCATTTGATCCAGCGACATCACACACGCACTGTGCCTGGGTATATGGTGTGCTGTGCTGTAACCCCCTTTTGCTGTTAATTTTATATATATTAGTCACATATAGTCGGTTATAGTCACTTGTTATATAGACTTGCCTAAGTCAAGTCGGTTCCTGTAGCCCAAAACCACACATTTCTGTCAAAGGACATTATAGTCTGTTACTATTAGACAACCTAGAGACCCTTGATACCCACATTATACATATACACACATAAAATATAAGGAAAATTATATGATTACTCTAAATTATATCAACACATTTAATAAAGTAATACATTTTGTATTGAGGAAGTAAAAATAGCAGGACAATAATGTAGAAAAATTCTATTACTACTTAAAGCAGCAATATTTGTAAGTATTCATTAGTACTTTACTCTAAGTACCAAAAGTTCTCATAAGACAGCAGTATCTCAGTGTTATGCATTTGTATGACTGGTGCATTAAAATGTAAGCAGTTTGTTCATGTTGCAGCCGGTCCTGATGATATCCATTTAGTATTTATTTTGGACTATAACAATACATCATTTATTATGGCTGACTATAACTAATAGATTATAGGAACAAATTCTTGTTTACATCTCTTCTATGAAAATTCACTTTAGCAAATGAAAACAAGTCTGTGTTTACCTCAGCACTTTGGGACCCCTTGCCAATAAAACCCCAACATGCTGAGCCCATCTTAGGATCACAGAAAACAGATGTCGTCGTGTCACAAACAAACAGAACCAACCAGCTGCAATATTCTCTGGTCTTGAAGCTCAGAGCTTCGGCAGTGAACGTATAGGGGGTAGAATACTCAGGACACAAACAAAGACAGTATAAAAGACATTGTGTTTCCAACCTGGATGAGCTGCCTGTGGAAGAATATGCACAACAAGGCTCTTCTCCATGATTACTGTGCCCCTTCTGGACCTAAGTGGAATAAGAACAGGCTCTCACTCCCTCTCTGCTCGCTAATCTGCTCATTATTCAGTTCTAGTTGTGAAAACAAGAGAAACTGAATACACAGTGCCAGTAAATGAGTTTACATAGAGAGAAAACCATTGAGAGAAGTACCAGGGTACAAGCTCGAACACCACTACTTACCAGCTTTCCTCCAGTGGCTTTTTTCTTTAAACACTCAACATACGCACTCTCAGCCAGCAATCCTTGATTATTGTCCAGTGCGTCTATGTGTCCTCCCTTAGCTGACTGTAAAACAGTTGACAAGATTCAAAGTGTCAAAAAATGTCCCTTCACAGTTGTGAAATACATACTGTATTTGCCAAGAACTTTAATGTAGAAGATTATTTATGGATTTGTAATAAAGTCATAGAATATTTTGAAGTCAATACTCTCAGTGAAGAAGTAAAATATGAACTATGATGTCAGAAATGTTTAAGAGTTCAGTTTTTGAGGCCAGATAGTCCCTGGATGTCTACATATTAGATCTACATATTAGGCTATGTTATGAAAAGGCTGAAATTATGTTTCTTAAGTTTTCTTAACAATAGAAAAAAACAAAGTTTTTTGGGGCTTAATTATTCTAAATTTTTCTTTAGTGAATTACAATATAAACACAAAGGCCCCCCTGGCCATTTTGTCTTTGTGCTTCTGTTATGTCCTGCCATAATGTCATATGTTGCCATCTTTTGAAAATATGCTAAAGAAAATACAGACCAACTGCGTGTGTCCTCCGCATTCTTTTTCATAGGCACAGGTGTTTGCTCAGAGCTGCAAGGAAAAAAGGCAAATACATTATTATCTCAGTCATTGTGACAGTAAGTCTTGCTTGAGTGCTGATAACATAATTTCAAATCCCTCCTCTAAGCTAATATATCAGAAAAATTATTTGAGAGCTACAATTTAGCCCACAAGAGTGGTCTCCTGCCAAATAATGTACATTTATATTACGCCCTACAGGCAAAGAAACAATGCCAGACTGAAAATTTTAACATTATTTTGACAGAAGATGAATAGCAAACACTCTCACATGCATGGTTTCACAGAAAATCTTGTATTCATCAGCTGTCACTGTCTTCATCATCTTGGACAGCTTTCAAATTAACCCATAAAACAAAGAAACATTAAAATAACAGTAATACCCAATTGCATGTCAAAATGGACTGGAGTTAATTTGACAGGTGCTGTGACAAAAATATTGTACGTAATTTAATGTACATAGTATATAATAATGGCCCTGCGATGGACCGGCGACCTGTCCAGGGTGTACCCTGCCTTTCGCCCAATTGCCAGCTGGGATTGGCTCCCGCCCCCCCGTGACCCCATTCAGCGGTATAGAAAATGAGAGAGATGAGTATATAATAATGAGAACTGGTGATAAGATTCTACAGTATTTTTAGCTCAGTGCCTCTTTCAAAATAGTCATACATTCTTTAGAGAACTATATTACAGTATTCTGGCACAAAGACAAACACGGAGAAGCCATCTGAAATAAGGCATATCTTTACATCATAGAGATGGCTTATGTTTCGAATGTTTATGGAAAAGTCTAATTATGGCATCATTTAACCTTACTTTATAATAAATCAACAATTGTTTGATTTGTTTTTGTGGGGAGTCCTTCTAACCTTCAGACATCAGAGTTTAGGTCAACAAACAACAAAGATGCTTGACTCTTATTCTTATTAATTTAGTTTAAGCCACGAATGACTAAACTCATGCAACCAAACATGACTGCTGTTGAAGCTTTGGTGTATGTTACAGTTACAGTGACTTACTGTAACTGTAAAGTTATGCTACATTTACTCCAAGCCAAAGAGGTCAGAGAACTCAGTCTAAGTGCTCCAGTTGTATGAAACTGCTCAGTCACTGGGGCTACTGTATACTTTTCTGCTACACATAACAGGCTATACACTATAGGCTATGCATACATAGCGGGATGACATTCAGTCTTCTTCCTTCCACTCTCTGCAAACTTAAATAAACATAGACAGTTTAGGTTCACCGTGCCACCTGTGTAAATGAACCTTATAACGACTGTCAGCTATAGGCTATTTAGCTAACCTCTTCTAAAGAATTATGTCTGCTCTTTGGATTTCTTTTTGTCTTTTCAACAATAATGGCTGTGAATTCTAAAGGCTTGGTAATGACATTAAAATATAAAAATTCATGGATAATTCTAACATCGAGCCACTTATTAGCGTCACAAGGCAATTCATCCCCGTTGCTCTCTGAAGGTTGCTTTTGCCATAGCAACCAGTTAACACGTGCGTGACGTATTAATCTGCGACATGCAGTTGCCACGTCACCTTGTGGAGACGTGTGTTTTGTTTTGTGGGAGCTACTTTAGTCAAGCTAATATTTCTGATGTGTTTTCGATTCTGGAGCATTTAACTAGCACCGATAACCGGCAGAAAGTTGACGATGGACGAGTTTGTCCACTTTCCGCACCAGATGTGGCAGAAAGTATTGTCGAAGGTAAAGCAAGCTGTTGTTTTTATGGATGACAGGTGTGCAGAGGCTCTCCACTGGATCGGTGGTGCTGCCGCATTGTTTGAAGCAGGAGCTAGAAATTTGAAGCAATTTTCAAGCTTCGAATCCAGCGGTGTGAATGAACCGAAAGCTGTGTTTGTGGTGAGCACTTTGTTGAAGGGGACAACGGTCGACATCCTGAAAGACATCATATCCCTCAGTCACTTCCAGTACTGTGTCGTTTTCACCACCGTCGCTCACTCCGTACACCTGCTCGCCAACAGTGTCACGACAGAGATGGAAGGAAACCCTGTATTTGAGCAGTTTGAAGAAAAGCTGTGTGAGTGGATGGGAAACATGAACTACACGGCTGAAGTCATGCATGTTCCCGTGGTCTTCGCCCCTGTATCACAGCAGCTGCTCCTCACACCCGCGTTTGCCCACTTGTTTCCCCTGCTGTCACCTGACCTGGAGAAAATAAATGCAAAACGACCAGAGAAGAAGAGATTTGGAAGCCTGGTTGATATAGACATGCACTCCCTTTCTTTGGAACTGCAGATTGAAATAAAATCATTGGCCTCAGCATTAAATGCAATGTTTGAAGCTACAAGCACCAGGGAAGAGTGCTTTGCTGTGGGTCCCATGAGTCGCATCATAGCAGGGGAACTGGCTACTCATCCACAAGCAAAAACCCGAAGAAAAACTGCGCCTAATAAAGCGTCAATCATCTTTGTTGACAGAACAATGGATATTACAGGTGAAATCTTGTGCCCAGTCACTCTGCACATCACAATCAAGTCTTATTTATAACAATCCTATCCAAGACTGCAAGAATACTCTTTTGAGAAAAGTGTTGCTTACAAATGCACATATTGATGTTGATATTCAGCGTGTTAATACACATGAAATAAACACTTGGTCTTTTTAATTTTCAGGAGCTGTGGGTCATCATGGTGATAACCTGGTGGAGAAGATTCTGACTGTACTCAAACCCCTACCTGCTCATGTGACAGATGTACAGGTGGACATGCTGGAGCTCACAAGTCTGCAGCACACCCCTTACTCCCAGACCATCCTGTCCCCCGGCTGTCTCGCACAGACGCGGTGAGTCTATAATTGACAGTACTTCATTTATAGCAACAGTGTTGCTTTGTGTAATATACACTTAACACTTTTACTGTCCACTTCTTGGGAAACCTTTATTTGAAATGTCTTTTCTTTTTGACAGGGACAATGCGCAGTGCATTTAGTGTACCAGATATAGCTAAAAACTAATTTTCATTTGCAGCCTTTGGGCGACGACCACCAAAAATGCGCAGGTTGTAAAATCATCAGACAACAGACAGTTGTACTAGATCAAAACATGAAACTTTAAATAGCAGATACTAAAAACAATACAAAATCTAATCATTGTAATGTGTTTGCTGGATAGATGATTGCGGTTTGTTCTCCACCTATTCATGGTGTGTCCATCAATATAACAAATCTAAAATCCTTAAGTTTTAATTAGGTTTTGATGCTTGTATTGTGTTTGTTTATACATTGTTCAGTTGCAGTTCACTGCAACATCGAAGATACAATATGACCTTTAACAGCACTGTGTTTGCCAGCATAAGCTTCAGATTTTCACATCAGTGATTTTGTTCTCATCTGAAGTTCACAGAAGCAGTGACTTCTCTCTACTCCCATAACAATTACAGACTGTTTTTCAGAACACTCATCGATTCTTCTGTAATTACCTCCAGAGATACACAGTACCTTGTATTTTGCGCACGAGGAACTGCATTTCCCAATAGGAGGGCGCTTAAGATCCCACAAGTGCATCAAAAGGGCTGCTGGAATTACAGCTACAGCAAAACACCCTGCCTTTGATCACTTTACCATAAAGTATGTTCACATCATTCACAAAGAGCCATTTGAGTGATTTGTGACTACTTGTCCCAGCAATTTGAGTTAACTTTTAAACATTTTAAATAAAAAAAACAAACAAATAGGTACTGGGTTGATTCTGCTGGCCTTATGTAGCCTTTCTCTGTAGAGTTAACATGTTCTCCCTGTGCCTGTGCTTCCTCCCATAGTCCAAGAACAACTAGGTTAGATTAGCTGGAGACAAATGATTACATTAATTTCTCCCAAAATATTGTTGTCTGTTGCAGAACAATCTTCTGTAACTTGGCAATGGCTAAAATCCTGTCTGGAATAAATGTGGTTACAGAGGAGGATGGTACATATTTATTTACAGAATTTAGCCTTTGGCAAGTGGTGCTAGTGGTTCAGTGAAGCTTGTTTCTAGTGTTTGCTGTGCAGATGCATGTGGTAGGTGCCTGCGGTGGCGTTGTCGTACATGGCAGGGATTAGTCCTACATCATGTGTTCCACTCCTGTTTTTCCCCTTCATGCAGTTGCAGGAGGAAAAGACTTGGAGAAGAAGAGTTTTGTGGCTGGAGTTGTCAAGTCTGACCACTTTGGGCTCATGAACAGGATTACACATACACTGAATGCAAAGGGGGCCGTTCTGAGATACAGTTGGTGGGAGGTTCTGTTGCAGTGGAACCGGGCTTAGATCTTTTTTCTCATCACTGTTTAGACAGCAGCAGATAATGTGAGCACAGCACGGACGGATTGCACCAGCTCTCAGATACAAGGCTTAAGACTGGGACACGTCAGCCAGATGGCTATAGTACAACCACAGAATTCATCTAAAGTAAATGTAGCTGAACTCTCGGTTGCACAAACACAGCAGAGTAGTCTGTGGATGTGCTGAGTTAAATTTTAGACAAAGGACCCCAAGGAGGGGTCGGTGGCTGTGTATCACAGTGACAAAGTTTGCAGTCAATGTTCCAGATCTTTTTACCAAATGTGTGCAGTTTCAGCTGAACACACATTTAAATGTCTGATTCAGATATTATACACAAGGTCTAGCAGGTGGTGGGACACAAACAGATAGACGAAGAAGTCTAGCTGAAAGTAATAAGCAATGCAGCAAGGGCTAAGCTTGTATGGAGCATGTGTCTGATCACGGCCAGCAGGATCAGTAGGACACAGTTGCAGGAGAGTGCAGTGCATCAGAGGCAAGAAAGGTGACAAGATTTCCCGCTTTCTTTAAGTACACAGCTCACCACAGACAGTTTACATCAGACACTCTAGCATGTTCAAAACAGGGCTCTGCAAAAGCTTGTTTTAGGGCCAAACTGCTATTAAGCATTAATATCTTAGAGAAACTAAAGCACATATTTTTAAAAGGGATTGTTTGCTTTGCATGATGTGAACCATGCAGAGCACTAGACCCTTTTGACTCCATGTGGTTTGATGGTGTATATAATAAGTTCCCTTCTGCTGGATGTTTTATACACCTATGGTTTGTTGCACTATTTTTAGTGTAAACCCACAGTGTGTTTTGATTGGTTATGTTGTATAACTATGTATATAGACCAGCTCAAAGCCTTTAAATATTAGGTGTGGACCTATTTTGGACCTTTTGTATGGTATTTCCCTCAGTAATTCCAGGACATCTTTATAGATTATACTGTGTCTTAAACATTCTGTGGGTGGTTGACTCTAGCTCTCCCAGCAAGACCCTACACTTACTTTGCAATTACTGTCGTGCTGTATTTCATAACCTGGTGCGAATTTTTCTTATCCTACAACCTGACTTTCACTCTGTGGTTTTAGGAATCATGCAGAGACAACGTTTGCATGCACAAACACACAACTTTGCCTGTGAAGGTTTTTGTTACACCACTCTTGTGCTATGGCATTCTTTTTCAGCCAGTGAATAGTGCCAGGATGCACAGTTTGCTGTCTGTAGTAGAATGTTGAGTGAAAGTAGCAGTGGAAGTGTTGTTTTGTGTGTGTGTGTGTGTGTGTGTGTGTGTGTGAGGTTGTGGTCAGGTACCTTCTAGCCCAGTCTGTGTAATTTGCTGTGCTTGGCTGCACAGGCCTTTTGATCTTGAGTAGTACACATGAACCCCATTGGCAGAGGGCACCGAGTTTCCCTCAGTCCCAGACTGAACCCTGCACCCCTGTCATCTGGACGCCTTGGACCTTGATCCTGTGGTGGGGTGTGTGCATGTGGGCAGATCCGAGTATGGGTGGCCAAGGTGCTCTGGGTCTGCCTGCAGAGCTACAGAGCTAAAGCCAGGCAGAGTTACCGACCACACCCTGCCATGAGAAAATACTGCGAGGCTGCCATCTCCTCAAATCTGCCCAGCAGATCCAGCACACGTACCACCAGGAAGGAGGAAAAACACCTATTTCTGTCCCAGCTGGGAAATATGAGCATGAAGAAAAAGCTTTGCACGCTTATTTGAGTTTGGGCTATATAGGAAAAGAAACAAAAAAAGGCAGAGATAATACGATGTGGAGAGAAGAGAGCAAATGATAGACAGCTGAAGACAACTAACCCTGTTTTTACCTCACCAAGAATAAAGAGTGGGATATGGAAACTGGCCACATTCATTCTATGTTGCTTCCTTATAGAGGTTGTTTTGCTATTCTGTACTTAGACATTGAATATTGGCACAAACAGTTTAACGAATACATCATTTATAGGCTAAACAACAACCCTACTCCATCATTAGTTACAGTGTAGTAGTAGTAGTAGTAGTAGTAGTGTAGTAAGTTCCCATACAGATCTGCCTGCTGACTGTGCATTTAGGATTAGAAAGCTTGTTTACTGTGGTGTAAGAAGATATTGATCCTGGCCAAACATTGGGTTCCTTCCATTATATACTGATGAAAAACCCTTTTGCAGTAACTGGGTTCCATGTTTTACTCTCACCATACTTGAACCTGTACCTGTTAACAGGTTAGGCTGTGGAGAGTGACTTGCAGTGATTACATCACATGGGAGGTAGAGGTAGCTTCATTTGAAAGAATAGTCTTAACATACCTTAGTAAAAATAAATGGCTTTGTTTTTGTTTTTTTTTATTATTGCAGAGCAAAGATAAAACTAAAATAGTCACTGTTTAATTTGAAAGCCTTTTTCATCATTATCAAAAGAGACAGTTCTCCCTCTGAGCCACGTGTCTGTCTGTGCAAGAGTGTGACTTTCATCTAATGATTTATCACGCTGATTTTATCAGGCTGCCCTAAAGGTTGATGATGGCTTCAGCTGTTTGCAAATAAAGTGTAGGAGATGCAGGAGCGTAGCCGTATATTCAGTGTACTGACATATCCCCTGGTCCATCTCTGATGTTGTGCCTCTGTTTTCGCTCCTAATGTAGGTCTTCTCTTGGAGCCCACAGTACATCAATCACGCAGATTAGTCGCACCTGAAGAACTTGTACTTCGTGTTCCCTTCAACACTAAGATAACGTAACCTATTCCATCTTGTACTGTACGCTGTCTTCAGTTCTGTCATTTGATTTTCACTACACACTTCTTACTTGGGAAAGAGAACACGAGTGTGTGTGTGTGTGTGTGTGTGTGTGCCTGCATGTATTCCAGAATATGATAAGACATTTCCAAAGAAGACAGTTTACATCCTCCATCCCTACTCCTTCAAAAACCTGACTTTCCTTTGAAGTAGGTTTCAACCAACATCATATTTTGTGATTTTTTTTTCCCCCATACTTGAGTTTTTTCAAGCTTTCACCATAAAGGAACATGATTCTTCTATATGATAAACATTTACATAAACACCCTTTGAGTGTAAATGAAGGAAAATGTCCTGCTGTTGTAATTACAGGTGTTGTTAACAGATTTTTTTTGGTCATTCAGAAACAGAAATTGTAATTGCAAAGCTGTTCACAGTCATCACTGAATGGTGGCTGACCAGTGGGAGCTCCTGCTTCATCTGATATAGTGTGTTTAATTTCAAATGTCTCCCTTTTTCTCTAGACTTCCTGCAGAACACATTTCCTTCATTTTTTCTCCATAAATGTGCTGGGTCATTTGTCCCTCTTGGCAAGACACTCAAGGCCAGGTCTGGTTTTGGTCCACTCCTCTCATGTCATGTCCTGTGCTAGATGGGGATGTTTACAGGAAATCCAACAGTGGTTTTTTTCTCCCCTAAATACACCCCATAAATAAGTCACAAAGAAATGGGACTGGCCTTGTGCAAATCTGTTAGGTTGTATTTGTTACACATAGGCCTGTTGGAATCATGAAATGAAACATGCTTGCACACAGGTTTTGCAGTCTGCTGAGTGCGACATTAAGATTACATTAATATGCACTGGAGTGTGGGGTTGTAGCATGTGGATGTGATTTGTTGTACACGTGTACACATGACACCAAGAAATGGTGTCAAATAATTATGAGCCATGATCTGTACTATTAAATTGATTGACCCACATAAAATATATCAAGTTAATATTTTTCATTTTTACCCAGAAAAGTGCAGAGAAGTTTGGATGCAGTTTTCAGCCCTGAGTTGTGTCTGTCAGGGTGCACATCACCACTATAACCTCCACCAGGACGATAGAGTAGCCTGCCTGTTGTAGCAAAATCCACGGCCAAAAAAAGCCCATTAAGCACTTGCTACGTCTGGCTAAGCCTGTCACTCTCAGCACATGGTAGCAATTTAAGGCAGCTCAGATGAGCATATCAAAGAGGCTGGACAATGTTCAGAGAGATTTTTAATACAAAATTCAATGTGAAACTATAGAAGATAGGAGGGACTAAAAGTCACTTTGAAAGTAAGGAGGTTGTGCATTCTCCATCTCCACTGGAAATTATGCCCTTGTGTCTAACCATGCAGATACCTTTGGTTTTATTTTCAGAGATTTTGTGATAACTATCTGTGAAATTTCTGCCACACCACCAGTACAGTGGGGTTTGATTTGATTTCATTTGTGGTGCTCAAAGTTGCTTCCAATAAACTCAACAACAGCATGCCTTCATGAAAAAAAAAACTATGCTAGGTGCTTGCAGTACATATAGTGTAATACTCAGACCTCAGCCTTTATCAGAGCTACTTTCTTCACTAGAAATATTCCTCATGAAAGCTGTTGACAGCATGTTAAGCAGAGTATCCAGAGCAACTGAAACACTTTCTGGAGAGAGATGCTCATTTTTCAGTGCTTTGAGCACCTCAAAGTAAATTTCATATGTTGGGTTGAGGTGGCAGCTGAAATTTCAGAAATGCATATCTCAAAAACTGATCGAGTAAGGTGAGCGAATTGAGCCTCCTCAGACGTTTCACCACTCATGCTGAAAGGCTTCATCAGTCGTATGTAGTATGACTCCGGTCTGAATCACACCAGGAATGTTGAATGAGAATAAAGCAATAAACACTAATATGTGTGTGTACATATACACGCATGTTTGACCCACTGATGAGAGAGCCACAGAATAAGTAGTGCAATTAAGAAATCATGAGTCAGAATGGTTAGAGCCATTCTTTTCCGCTGCATCATTCACTTCCAGGAACCCTGTCCCCCTCCTCACCCCACAGTAATTAATAATTTGGACATAGCCAGATGTTCTTCAGCTTTTTAATGGGCTCATACAGAGCATGCTCATTCTTTCATATAGTACGCACATCTTTCCTAAAGTTACAGTTTTTGATGCTTAACTGATTTTTTTTTTTGTGTCACAACACTCATTACACCTCTGGTGGAAATTACTTAGGGCACAAACACCCACACTGTCCAAATGCACCCACGCAGCCAGAGAAACGATGACTACAGTGCACACACGTCAGGAGCAAGAGTGCCCCCTTCAGGCTGTAACCAAGCAGCCCTTTCAGAGCCGCACTGCCCGTAATGCTTGCAGATGGCCAAGTACACGCGCCCCTCATACCCAGCCCCCCACCCCCTCCCCCCTTTCCATAGTATAGCAGTTACTCAACAAGGCTCCTGACTGGTTATAGAGCCTGTCTCACACCCTGCCAATATAAACCTCACCCCTCAGCCCTCAGCCCAGCTCGTACCCCCACCTTCGTCTGACCAAATGGCCCAGGGAAAGCATCAGATGGAGGGTAGGGGGTGGGTCAGCGGAGGAGGGGTGCTGAGTGGGCAAAGAGCCAAATGAGAACCATATTTCATGCACACTCTGCTGAGGCCCTCCATCTCCCAGAAACATGCACAGATGCACAGGGTTGTGTGCAAACATAACATACAGATGCATGTGTATATGTCCTCAAACACACACGGCTACTCACATATGGTCTAGTCAAGTAACACTATTGGTATTTCAGCCATGATAACTATGTGGGACTTCATTGAGTGCATGGGAGGTTTTGTTTTCTGAAGGATTAAGTGAAGGGAAGTGTCCAGAAATGACACCATGTCATAGCTCTTGACCAGTATCTGCAATATCTTAATCATTGAGCAAAACAATGAGCAGATTGTTATTGTCTGACTTAGTTTTTTTTTTTCTTTCCCAACAAAAAATTTTAATGTATACATTTTTACATTAAACTCGTGTCCTGGGCTGAGTCATGTTTGCTGGTCTTTGTGTCTGATTCTACAGCGAAGTTGGTGGGTGTCCCAGCGTGAGCCCCTCTCCTCCCCATACAGCCCCAGCCCAAGGTCTGGAACAGATTACATCTGATATTAAACACATGGAGGCAGTTAGAAAGGAGAAAAGGCGAGAGAAAAAAAGTAAAGAAAAAAAAAACTAAAGAAAAACAGAGTGGATTTGTCAGCGAGCTCCCTCCTACCTTTCCTCTCTCCGTCCTTATCCCCTTTTTCTGTCTTTGTCTCCTTCTCTGTTCAGTTTCTGGTCACTTCTGAGAGAATACAGTGACGTTCATATCCGTGTCGACATTCTGGCTGTCAAAGGCACAGACAGCAGAGGTGGCACAGAGCCAACAAAGTGCCAGTGCCTTTAACAAGACATACAAAATATGAGTATAGCTGGAGTTCTGATATAGGGCCTATTTATAAGAAAAAGTATCACTCTCTATGAATCTAATGATGATGAAGCTCCTCAGTGATACTCTTTAATTCTTTCACGAAAAGATTTGATGCTGTTTCCGCTGCTTGTGGCAGATGGTACGAGTCCTACACGCGCCTTGTCCTCAGTCTTCCATTAGAGATGTGGATCAGTGATTCATAACCTAGCGGATAATGAGATGAGGGACTGAGATGTGCCCTGAGATGGTATCAAGAGGAGTCCTGCTCTCCAGACTCTTTTCCTAATGATGTAAGGACTGATCAGTTCAGAGGAATGTTGGCTCACAGACCTTTAAGGTGGATTGAGAACATTCCCAGTGTTCCCTCTGCTAATTTCAGCTTTTTCCTGTGAGGGGTCCCATAAGGGAGTCACCACTCTGCAACCATCAGGCTCTCTATCACTGAGATGAGCACCCCATCACGTCCATGTCTTCCATTCCATGTTTTACTTCAGGGGCCTATATGCTCTGAGCAAGAGTTGTTTCCCTTGCTGGTGCTTAAATTTACTACAGAACGTCTCCTGCAGTGTGCTTTCCTCAAATTAACCTTTTCGATTGGTCTACCTTTTAGGTCGCCCGCAGCACAGTCACTGTGGGAGGCCATGCTGACCAGTAAGCATAAAGAGGGGGTGATGGAGGTCCGTCGGCAACTGGTGGAGGCTGCCAGTAAAGAGAAGCTGCCAATCAAGATGAGCATGGGTAAGAACCAGAATCCCACAAAGCTGTAACAAAGAATGTCTTGTTTTCTATTAAATAAAACACAAATTCATACAAAATAGAAAAAAAAACGAGCATTTGCATCATGTAAAAATATCATGAGAGAAATGTGATATTCTTAAAGAGAAGTGTGTGTAAGTATTTCAGCGTTGTAGTGCAGAACCTTAGCGCCTCCTATTGAGAGCCATCATCTCTGCTGTGCATTTGCCCATGTGGCCACATAGGAAATCTGAACCACATGTTGGCTCTATAACACACACTTACACACACACAGATGCTCCCTTGCACACACGCTGCTTTTGAAAACTTTTGTTGTTTGTTAACGAAGAAAAGGGGGCTGGCTGCAGCCAGGGATAAAAATACGAGTTGGCATGCAAAGGCCTTTCCATGCACAAGTATTCAGTGCCCTCATGCACGTTGAACTATGGGCTACCCTTTGACTCACACAGTTAATGGATGTACTACATTCATACTCGCACACAAACAGGGCTAATATGCAGGATATCTTCTGGCAGAATGGGGGGGTTAAAAGAGAGGGGCAGTGTAGTCCCTTAGCTCCTATAATCTGTGAGGTAAAGAACGTCTTGTCTCTCGTGACAAGTAGGTTCTAATATGTTGGTCTCACATGCACACACGCACACACACCAAGCATCTGTGTACACATGGTGGTTTCCTTTTGCACACCTATGCTTAACAGCAGTCTTTGTAATTCTGGATGGCTGCTACACTGTGGATTTGTTTAGACAAATGGAAGGCAACAAGAATGGAGCTGCAGAAACGTACAAGGAAAAGTTTGAAAGTATGAAGAAGGTGTAGCATTAAAGCTGCTGCGCGCCTGCTGACTGACAGCCTGTTGACTTAATGTCTTTGCTGAGTGAGAGAAAAAGAGAAAAGTGGTGTGAGCGGGTGCACTGTCAGACTCCTCACACACTGGACCTTTATACCCCACTGGCAGAGGACCAGACTCCACGAAGCCCCTCTGCGCTCCCAGCACACCCCCACACAGTTCCCGTCCTGCCCGCCAACACCACCAGACAAATTTTCAGTCCACCGTGCTCTGCTCATATGAGACCAAGATAAACCCAGTAACACAAACCGCTTAGCATTAATATCTATCTGCCCTCTCAGTGGAGGAGAATTTTACACAACACATTCTCACTCTGGTACGTTCACCAGATCAGTAAAGATAATACTGCGTCAGTGTAATGCAAGTTCTGCATTCACGCACACACTGACTCAGCTTGGCTTCTCTTCATCTCAACAGGATAAGATCATCTAGAGAGAGCGAGAGACAGAGAAAATAACCAGTTTCTCAGAGCCTGAGTATGGACTGTCAGGTTTCTCATAGCCTGAAAGGATGATGAAATTCCCTCTGTGCACTTGTGCGAGAGAGGAAGTGTTTGCATAGATGTGTTTGTGCAGTGTCCAGTGTTTATTTTGGGTGTTTTTGCTTTTAGTGGGGAAATACTTGGACTTCTTTGGTTTCATTGTTCGTGAACGTGCGTTTATCTGTTCATCCGCCTCTGTGAACATTTGCATGCATATGTGTATATATACTGTTTGTGTGCACTGATAGCACGGTGTAAATGAGGTGTGTTGATAGAACCTTTCCTTTCTTCTTGCATTGCATTTAACTATGACACTTAAGCTGATGATTTATTACTTTCATTATTTCAAGTAGTGAAACTGGTAATATTGCAGACGTTTAGTAGTTTATGTATATAATATGTCCTCATAATTTAAATGATCATCACAATGTGCTATGTTAAACTGCACAAATGGCTTTGCAAAATAATTCTGTAATCAGTTAGGACAAAAAAAAAAAGTTAAAATAATTTGGAACCTAGAAGGTGTTATTACAACTTTGGATTAGCAAATGAAATTAAAGTATTGTCAAAGGTCTGTGTCAAAGTGTTTGGCCATTTATTTTAGTGGAGATCCACAATATTTTATTGTATTAGCAAACAGTCAACCAACAATTACAGTATTATTAAATGCATTTATTCTGAAATTTCTCAGATACATGCACACCAATGTATGTAGTCACTCTTAAACTTGAAAGACATTAGTTAAAATGTAAAACAAATGATGCTTGGAATTTGAATTTTGTAAAGAGATAAAGATAATTTGATTTCAGTTTAGTCTTTTGATGAAAATGCATATAAGTGCTAGTATAGTTTTAGTTTTTTGACTTTTGTTAGTTTTAGTCTAGTTTTATTCTAGTCTTAGTCAGTAAAACCTAAATACATTTTAGTCTAGTTGTTGTCATTTTAACTGGATTTGAATATTTACTGTACTGTACTGTACAGTGGTTACATGTGTTGTTCCCATCTATCATGAGGTTTGTGGAAAATAGGGTTTTATACCGGAGTGTCCCTCTGCTCTGCAAAAGTTGGACTCACTCATGTTTGTACTAAAATCCTCTTCACTGGGCTCAGCTTGAGAGGTGAAGCTAAATCATCAGATAACATTAGAACAGTTAGATCTCTGCAGTGAACATTTAGAGATGATTTATGGTTTACTGCCTATATTAATCCTGGAATTGACTGACAGCAGCACAAAATATATCAGACTGAAAGGAATGTCACTGTTACATCTACAACCACAGTGCTTCACATTAAAGGTGGTGTTGGCGATCCTGGAAAAAGTAGCAAGAGGAAGCTGGATTTTGAAAGTAGACAACTGAAGAGACCCACTCTTTTGTTCTGACTTCTCTCCAAAGCCACTCCTCCAAAACACAACACATACTGCAACATGCACTGCCTGACTACTGCTTAGAGATTTCAGGATATGAACAAATGTCCCCCAAACAAAACAAAGCCGGTAATTACCTGTCCAACAGAAACACAGCCACCACGACGTCACTTTTCAGCTCCTTTTCTTCTCTTAGTTGTCACCATCATTCAAAAGCCACACCAGTGTTAATTTGGGTTTTACATCTTGCAGCATCCATCCATCCATCCATCCATCCATTTTCTTCCGCTTATCCGGGGCCGGGTCGCGGGGGCAGCAGTCTAAGCAAAGATGCCCAGACCTCCCTCTCTCCAGACACTTCCTCCAGTTCCTCTGGGGGAATGCTGAGGCGTTCCCAGGCCAGCCAAGAGACATAGTCCCTCCAGTGTGTCCTGGGTCTTCCCCGGGCTCTTCTTGGAGCAGAGTGACTTCCATGAGCGCTTCTCTGGAGGGGATTTCATCGTGGATCGCTCCTCTCAGTCTGTCACCTGCCAGACATTTGAGCTCACCCTGCGTTCCTGCCTCTACCCCCACATTGAGAGGAGGTACATTGAGTGCTGTGGGAACCTGATGAAGACCCTGAAAAAAGACTACAAGTAAGCATCACGCTTAAATCAGTGAGGACTCTTAAAGATAGGGTTGGCGATACTGGAAAAACCAGCAAGAGGAAGCTTGATTTTGAAAGTAGCCAATCGAAGAAATCCCACCCTTTCGTTCTGACTTCTCGCCAAAGCCACTCCTACAAAACACAACGCACACAGCAGCCTGCACTGCCTGACTACTACTACAGATTTCAGGAAAATAACAAATGCCTGCCCCCCACCCCCAAACTAAACAAAACTGATAATTCCCTGTCCAGCAGAAGCACAGCCGCTTTTTAGGCCCTTTAGTTCTCTCAGTTGTTGCTGTAGTTCAAAAGCCACACCAGTGTTAATTTGGGTTTTACATCTTGCAGCATCCAACTTCTTTTTAGTTGTAACTTTCTTGAATACAGTGTTATCCGCCCAGATCTGTGGCCCTGAACCATAGTTGGGGACCTCTGGTTTATGGCTAAACTGCTTTATCCCTGGCTCGTAGCCGGTAACTAGCCTTAGAAGTCCGGGCTTTTCCGGTGAGGAGAAGTGAAGAGGGGATGCTAACGGCATTCAAAACACCGACTTTATTCCGTCTTGGTAACTCGAACACTGCATGTGGCCTTGATGCCCAGTTAACTGCATTACAGTCCTGTCTATACACTTAGAGCTGACTGCTGTTGGTATTTTCTGCACCTGTGGCTGCGTGTAAAAGGAGTCTGTTCAGTGCGGCCGTCGTCTCTCTCTCTCATACTGTGCACACTGCATGCAGGTAGCAGCTTCTGGCAACATTACCTATAAGGCTATATGTCTTAAAGGGAAGGCCCGGCCTGTAACAACAGTCTCTGTTTGTGACTGAAAGCTGCTGTGGGTACCTTTTCTGCCATAGCTCACTAGCTTTAGCTATCAAAACAGAGCAGTAACGCATCTGCCTACCTGGCCTTGTGGGAGACTCTTGGCTCGTGCAAGGCAAGGATGTTTGTTAGCAGGAGGTAGGTTTACGGGCAGGTAGGCCATTCAGTGATTTTGCGCATCCTGTGTAAAATTATTGGTCAAGCTTTTTTTTTCAGCCCTGCTACTGCCACAGACGACGGATTTGTCTCTTTATGTTGTCAGTGCATTTAATGGACTTTATTCATCTATCAGGGTGAAAAGAGAATATCAAGATATGGAGCAAAAGCTGCTTCTGAAAAGAATGACAAGCCCTACCTTTACATTATCTAACAGTTTCATATGCCGTGCTGCTGCATTTTACTAGTGTGTTCCAGCATTTTTTGTGTGCAGTTCTTTGGACCGTAGATGAAGATGATTCGTAAACCTGTTTCTTCCAAGAAGCACTAATGCCAGAATCAGAACGTTACTGAATGTAAGATGGTAGTGAAACACATGAACTGGCTAATTCAACTCTCAAACGAGTAATATTTTGGCTGGTGGAGGAAACTGTTTCCTGATCAGCACCTACAGTTTGTGACTCCATAGATGCGGTAGGTCATTAAGTCAATTCATGTCCATTTGTCCATCTTTCACATCATTTTGATGTTTATTTTTTATTTTTTAAAGGAAAAATATAAAACATTTAGTCATACTTCTCATTTTCAAACGTTACTTTTTATTTAGTTTCGTCCTGAAAAATACAGTAGGTCGTCAACAAATATTTTTCATGGTCATTTTCGTTAATGAAATGAACACTGGCTGTTTTGAGTTGTCACCACCACAGACCTCATGCATGCTGTCCTGTATAGAGAAACTTCAGTCCCCAAATCACTCAAAGACATATTTAACTGAAGAAGAACCACAGATAGAACCTGTTTTCACAACACATATGTGTCTATCCTGTTGCACCTTGAGTTCTCTACACCCCTACAGTAGAGTCTTGAAAGGGGCCCAAACCCGCATGCATAAATAAAAGTTCTGGGACTTTTCTCCCTTTGGCATGCATAAAGAAAAGTCCCTCAGCCTTTCTCTGCCTGTGCCCCCCCCCCATGCATGTAGAATTGCTTATGAAGCTGTCCAGCTGCTGATGCAGCCCACCACTCAGCTTTATGCTGACATTAGACACAACTTAGCCTCTGAATAACCCTGTGTACCTACTGTAGATGACTTACTGGAAGATGACTTATCTTCCAGTAAATGGGACTAAATCATCGCTGGCCCCTGCCCTTTTTTGCATTGTTTAGGACTTTGATCATGGTCGAACCTCAGTTGCCACTTCTGCACATCAGGCTAAAATGGGCAGTAGCTCAAACTGTTTATAGCCTGAAACTGAAAATGGTATTTATGGCTAGCTATAAATGCACCCAGAAGAACATTAAAACATCCCCAGGGTTCAACTTTCTCCACCATCTTAGCTGATATACAAAGAGAGTGACAGAAACTGCAGTGTTGTGTATATGCAGTACCTGACACCTTTGGTTTAACCACTGATGAACAAAACAGACGTGTAGATGTCTTGAGTCAAGGTGCAATTAATTCAGGCATCTCCATGTTTAATGCACTCGTGAACTGAACACCATGCTGTATTAGAAATATTTCATGTGCGTTATATTTGACAGATATTTTAAGCATGCACTAATATAAAAAGGCAAATAAATATGTATTTAACTTTTGGGTGTTTTCAGACAGCATTAAAATTGTGTTGGAATGTGTTACTGAAAAACAGATCAAATGATAAAGCTGCCATGGAAGCAGACACTTTTCAGCTACAGTGTTGACTTGCGCTCAGCCTGTTTCTTAGAGTCCAAATATTAGAACATTTTCAGTACACCCTGCTGTAGTTTGAAATCAGAGCCCATCTGATAGATCTTCTCCCTGGGATTCATTTTGCATCTGGCAACAAGATGTCTGAAGAATCACAGAAGTGTTTTGAGGGAAGTTTACTGACATAGATAAGAGCTAAGGCTTTGATTGTGTAATGGAAAACAGACTTTTATGTGTCTTTCTTGACTTAAGTTCTTTTCTCTTTTTTCCTTAATTATCTAACATTTTCTCATTCAGTCTCATCAGGTCTGTAAAGTCACATTACGTCTGGCCCACACTGTACCATTCTCTGTCACCTACTCTCTTGTAAGCTTATGCTTGGCCCTTGATTTTGACATATTTCCTGGTTCTGTGCTGAATTATGGTTGGCACGTCAAGCTTAGCGAACCCTGGTCATTGCCAGGATTTTTATGGCTGGGTTTGTTCACAATAGAGCTTTTCAGGATTTTAAATAAGCCCGGGCTGAAGGTTATTCTACACAAAAAATCCTTAACTTCAGCAAGAAACCTGATTCCCTTTTGTAGACATTTGTTTCGTTTTGCCCAGAAGTGTGTCATACAACACACTGAGTCTATAGTTCAGCGTGGAAAGTGCTTCCCAGTAGGCAGGCTTGCAGAAATTTGCTTATCAGTTGCTGTTAAAATGAGTTCTTTGTTACTAGCCTCAGATGATTCCTCCAATTATATTTCTGAAAATGTTTCTCATCCATAGACTTTGTCATCCAGTTAAACAAAGTTTAAAAACGAAGTTGTCTTTACATTGAAAGTGCCATAACTCCATGATGTATTTACTCTTCTGAAGCTTTCTGCTCCACTTTTTAGCCTAGCATGTCTGTTTCTCTTTTAGTCATGTGTTTGGCCCTGCTAAAGAAAACAATGGCTATGTAGTCCAACAGGAAATACTCCCACATCTGGTGCTGGTTCAGAACATCAACAAGAAGAAGTAGATGTTATGTGTGCCCCGTCTCTATCCCGGCCCCTGAAACAGCCCCTCACTCCTCCAGGTCACCCTGTACAACCCCCTCCTAGCCCTTACCCCCGTTACGCCACTCTTCCTGTGTCTCTGTGAAACTTCGTGGGGAGGTGTGGTGGTTGTAACCAGCATGAGGAGTCCAACCTCTCTCTGCTGCCTCTACAAATAAAAACCTCTGAATTACATGTATTAGTTTCACTCAAGACAGGCTTTCAGGAGCTTTTATTAGTGTTACTGTGCCTCAGCTATATGTAGACGTGCACTCTCTCTCTCTCTCTCTCTCTCTCTCTCTCTCACACACACACACACACTTGCAGTAATATTTTGTCACATACTGTGACTCAAACATTTCACTGAAAACTGTCAGCCACCTGCACATACAGAGAATATTGCATCTTGACTGGCACAGCCACACGCACATACACACTCACGCATCGCTGGTGCTTTCTCCCAGACTGTGAAGGTTTTGCTCAGTCAGATAATGTTACTGTCTGTTTTTGGTACCACTCATCTGTCCTAAACTAAATGTATGATAATTATTAGGGAAAAAGTTGTCTATTTATTTTATTTCTACAGTTCTTACTTCCCATTAGGAAGAAAAACTGTGTGTGCTTGTCCCTTAGAACCCTGTACATTTGTACTTGCTTATAAAAGATGGCATAGGCTACTATTAGACCAACAGAGTGTAGTAGTGATTTGTATATATACTGTATATATGAAGTGCTTTGACCAGTAGCAGTTGATGAGTTTGTGCTCAAAATTGCTCCCTAGCTGATAACAGTATCTTCGTCTTTCCTCTCAGGCCGTGTGACTCCTGAGCAGCTGTGTTCCTATGTGCAGCTGTTCCAGAGCAAATGGGAGGCGTTAGAGAGTCACTGCGGCGTGCTCCAGCTGGGCCTGGGCACAGCCCAGACGCTACGCCACCCCAGCTTGCCTCGCTGGGATTCCTGCCTAGGCTTTGAGCGGCTGCTGCTGCAGGTCTGCACTCATCTTACACAAACCTATTAACCATATTAGTTACAGGTGATGAAAACTGGAAAGTCTCCTTTCAAAATGGGATATCCAGCAGTTAAAAGCATGATGACTGACAGAAACTCTTGAGGCCTTTAACTACAAATCAATATTTCATATGCAAGATTTAAAAAATACATATATATATTAAGGAACATTGAAGAAATGTCTTAAAGTATGAACTTGCATTATTTTTAGTTTTCTAAATAAAATCACACTGACTTAAGCAGGAAAACTTCACATTCACTGGCAAGTTGTATTTAACCTGCTAATTACAGCTAATTACTTTTTCAAATCTTTCCCTTTGGTAAATATATATTTGCCAGTGCTCAGCAGGTAAGTGGATGCTTGTGATTCACTAGATGGTGGCCAAAATGTTGTGTTAAACTGACAGAGATGGGGGAAAAACGCAGATTCCTCTCCTTCATAAACAAGGTCAGTTGTGTTTGCAGAGAAAACATTTGGATCCAGTAACGCCAGCTTTCCGTCATGTATTTTAGAGGCTTTTTAGTTCACAGGAAGAAAGGGTCTGGTTTGTGGGGGTGGACAGAGGTGGATGTACATGTGTGTTTGACTGTTGAAAGGTCAGAGGGCAGTGGAAAGACAGAGGCATAACAGATGAGGACAGATATGAGAGTTGGTCGAAGGGTGCACTGAATGTACTGTGAGTTGAATAATACTAAAGCCTTTTCCTCCATCTCTGACCTTGCTATTTTCATTGAGTTTCTTCATACTCCTGAAGCTGTAAAGTAAGCAGTAGGACAGCAAAGTATTTAGGAACTGATTAAACTAAATCATGGAAAAATAAAACAAGCTTGCAGCAGTGCCCCATGCCAAATTGGAATTTAAAAACAACCTCATAAACCTTAGTCCTGAGTTGGGGCCATCGCTGATTTATTAAATAAAGGACTTTAGGGCTTACAGTTCTAGTATCCACTTACTTCATGACTCCACTTTGATCCGTTCCTCCATGGCAGTCTACTATACCTGGACAATTCAAAGTACAACTTTTTCAGTGCTCTTTATAGTTTCAGTCTCATGACCACTTTTTCAGGTGGAGCTGGGTCTTGTTAAAATAATGATGACTATGTTAATAGCAGACTGTTGTACTTAACATCAGGATAGTGTATATAACACTTAGCCCGAGTTCAGAGATTCTTCAACAGTCAAATCTCACAATCAGGCTTTGAGCGTGATGTGACAGTTGTGTGCAATCAAAACAGGGCCCTGGTTTTATTGAGATATTAAAGGAAATGAGTTGTGTGTTCTCTGTGACCCTTTCTGTTTATTTAATTACCATGTGAGGTTTTTGCTTTGGGCTCAACATGGACAGGGAGAAGTTAATTACATTACAAAATGGCAGGATGAAATATGTTTCAGCTCTGCCTGGCGGTCAGGCTGTGTTTGCTCTGCTTGAGTGTGTGAGGGCTGCTGTGGGTACGACCGGTCAGAGCTGGACGCTCCATCGCTGATGGACAGTGTGAGTTCAGTCCGGCCAAGCCCTCTGTGGTGCAGTGGGGCCCCAGAGCGGGCAGTGGCTGCACTAAGGCAAAGGGCCACTGAGTGCAGGGTCTAGCCTAGGTCATGCCTTTTCCAACGCTTTGTTTGTATAAACTACTGTGTAATAGGTACTTTGTGACCTGGACACATTGGTAGTGTTTTAATCTTAAGGCAATGCTTAAAAATGCTGCAACACATAAAGGCTCTTTGGAAATGCTTTGTGCCTCTGTGCATTCCTAATGGTATACTGCTTGAAATGCAGTATATTGGTAAGGCTGTCGCAGTTGATAATTAAAACGGGCACAGGTGTGGTTATGGAGGCTGAGATGTTTGTTGGACTGGAATGTAAATGCGGTTTGTGTGATAGGTAGTCTTCACTGTGCTACTATATTTGTGTGAGATGGCTAAATGTCTTGCTGGCTGGCCCTGCCATCCTGCCTGTACCTACCTCACAGCCCTGCTGCCCTGGGCCCTGGCTGTCAGGGTTTTGGTCTGAATGGCTCAGATTGAGCAGGCTTGGTCCAGCTCCAACCTGCGGTTACAGAAAGTGTATGTCAGACATGCTCAGTGCTGGGCACGGGTGGTGCAGCCAAGGGAGAACTCAACAGACTCACTCTTTCACCACTTCCCAGAACATCACAGGCCCGCTACACTACCCTCCCATTAATGGCCCAGCCAGAGTGTCTACTTCACCAAACTAAACGTATACACTACTACTGTACATCCCTCCCACAGAGAGCAGACTTGGGACAAGTTGCAGCTACAGATTTTTTTATGCTAGTATTGTATCTGAGTTTACTACACAATCTACCACAGTCACATCACAGGACAAGGTAGTGATGACAGCAGTGCAGTAGAGAAGAGCTGACCCCTCTCACCCCAGCCTGTTGCTGTATTCTGCTGGGATTAGCAGGGCATGCCTCTGTAAACATTCAAGCTCCAAGTTATTACTGGTCACAGCGCTGCTCAGACAGAGAGCTGCACTAGGCTGTATGTCCCTAACTCCACAGGTGACTCAAGCTGCCGGCCTGGTCCTCGCCTCCATCTCTGCTGTGCGTTATTGTATTGTAGTCTGAAATACTATATACAGTGTGTAGGTTAAAATCAAGCTATGAATCTAAACCCATTATAGTAGTTCTGAAACAAGTACATGCAATGATACTTTGGTGAACCAACAAGCTGCTGCCAGTGTTGGTGTCTTTCAGCATTTGGATTTGTTTTTGGATGTGGTCTGACTATCTATTCTATTCTGTTCAGGTAAGGTCTATTCAGGTGGGGCCTGACTGTTTTTGGTTTCCTTATTAGTCCTGTCTCTTTTTTGACAAAATCATTTATACACTTTGACTTAGCCTTTCTCTGGGTCAGGACCTCTTCTGTGTTTGTCTACAAATAATTCTACAAGAAAAACTGCAAATCTACAGTTTATGCTTCTGCTTCTTCATAAATAATTCTTCAAGATGACTGCTAGTCTTTTTTTTCAGACTGATGTTTTGCTCTGTTGCTACGTGTGTGTCTGTCAAGGTAAATTAGTATCTAGCCAGGTTGGAGCCTGGTGACCCTCTTACACCATTAATCCCCCCCCACCCCAGTACAGTGTCAGTGTGAGCTGGTCTAAATGCTCATGACCTTTCACCTCTATCCCCTGAATCCTCCTGGACACTGACCTGCAGAGGTTCAAACCAGCCAGCCTGCAGTTTATCAGTAGCCTGATGCTAAAATCCATGTCATCTCCTGTTATGTAAAGCTGTAAGAAGCCAAGCCAGTCCCCAGACTACTTAACATGCAGTTATACAATATATGTAACATCTGGATTGTATTATTTCTTATGGCGATAGAGGGAAGATGTTGATATTGGTCCCAAGTAACTTTCATCTTATCTGAGCTGCATGCCACAGACAGACAGGGGCTTAGAACCAGTAATTGGGCATTCCCCAGGGGATGGAGCCTGTCCCCACATCCCAGACATTCCCCCTTATTCTCCAACTTTACTGTGTCCCTGCTGCCCCTACAGGATGGAAGGGGAGTGGTCGCTGTATTTTTCTGTAGATTGTAACAAAGGGGTGTGAATGACTCCGGGGCACTGCCCTGAAGATGTCCCGCACTGACCTCCTCCAGTTCCCCACTGTTTAACAGCCGCACAATCAGGACTGACCTGGACTGACCTTCTCCCCATCCATTTACTTTCAGTACCATATTCTGCCACATTCAGCCCTTGGGTTTCCTCTCCACAGTTTCCTCAACCCTGGAGCAACAGATCTGCTGGCAGAATGAGCTACAGGAGGTTTAGGATCAGCTCATGTCTGTCTCTTGACAAAGCGTCTTCTCTGCCTCTCTCTTATTGTCCTCTCTTCATCCCTTTTCTCCAAACTATACTTTATCCTAAAGAATAAATCACTAGGCGGCCTAGAAGCACCAAATTTCTAATATTACTACTTGGCAAATCAGCTACAGTATTTAGTCAAATGGATTCAGAAGGACAGCTACAAACAGCGCATGGATAGAATTAGAGCAAAATTACTGCAAAAATAACTCAAATAACTCAGTTGCAGACCTTTCTTTTCTACCAAACTCTATTAAGAAAATGAATTACTGTAAAAACATCACAATCCTCTCAACTCTGACAGCCTGGTGGAAAGCAAACAAAATCACTAAATCATCACTTGCACCATGTAGATACACTCCAATTTGGCACAACCCTGATTTCAAACTGCATAATAACTCTATTTATTTCCCAGCATGGTAACACAAAGGAATCACTCACTTAAATCACCTATTGAAAATAACCAGTTCATATCATTTAATACACTGATCCAGAAGTACGGAGTTCAGAGAGAACAGTTCCTCCAGTACAATCAACTAAAATCCATAATTAAATAAAAGATTAGTGTAACCAATAACCCACTACAGCCCTCCAAATTAATTGAAGAAATTATGAAAATTACAGATTCCAAGAAAATAATATCCAAGCTATATAAACTCATGTCAAATACAGATTCAACAATAACAATATCAAAACTCAAATGGGAAAACGATTTAACTCTCCCCCTCAGCTCTGACTTCTGGAAATTTGCAGTAACATATTTTCTATGACCAGCAGCATAAACTTATAACTTATACAATACAAGACTATCTATAGGACCCATATTACAGAAAGTCAAATGTTCAAAATGGGTTTTACTGACACAGACATCTACTCACAATGCAATCTAGATTGCACCAACACTTTCATTCTACTTGGACCTGCCAACCAGTTTATTCCCTCTGGATAGCAGTGACAGAGAAACTCTCTCCACCATCTTGGGCTGTAGAATCCCTCCTTCTCCATCACTTTGCTTGCTTGGTAATATCACAGACATTAACCACCTTCCAATTAAATACAAAAACCCACTCCTCATTTCTCTAGCTATTGCCAAGAAAACAATCTTTCAAAACTGGAAATCAAAAAAATCTCTACACATAAACCACTG